AAATATAATGAGTCATCAGTGCAGTGTTTTCAACTAACCTTTTCAATGTAATGCCCAACAAATGTATTGTTAAATATTCTCGCAACAGCCAAGGTCAAATGAAAACGGGTTAACAAAAAGACAACTCCGATTGAATGAAAATGGAATGACAAATGAAAAGATATATTGGTTTAATGGGGGCAGCAAGTTACATTTTGATTTTTTTCCAATGTTCCCGTAACAATCACAGATGAAAACAATTCTAAAGGGGGACCGCATTAGTTGCCTCCCACTATGCACTGTTGGGATATATCAGACCTTCTTTTTCCCGAACCGACAGAGTTTATTTTTGTAAATTGATTATATGTTACAATTTAAGACCCTACCCCATCCTTACAATACAAAACAAAAGTGTGTGGATCACCACAACAGTCCGATGTGTCTTTTCTGAAATATATTGGATTATTTAAATAAGATAAGATAATATAAAATATGTAAGCTTATTCTATAGAAAAACAACAAAAATATTTACATGGTCTATCGTTATTTATATATTATTGTTATAATATGGTATAGGTCATTACGAATCTTGATCCGAGTGAAATAACTTCTCGAATGTTTTGGAGATTCAAACACAGCTCAAGCCAGTACTAAACATACAGGTGTGTTCATTACAAGTAAAGGTAGTAGTTATTATAGTTCTGGACAATTGAGTTATGGAAACATATAAATGCATGTGCTACATTTTTAGACAAAACTAAATAAGGCAACTGTTACAACAATATCAACAAAATGTAATTGAAAGTAAGTATATTAAGTCAATATTTTATAACCTCCTTTTTTCACAACAGTACGCTAAACAATACTACATATTATATAACACATACTTATATATATATATAGATAGATATTAATCGATAAGAATGAATATACAAGGAAATTAAAAGTAAATATACACTTACCTGTATGTGCTGGTCCGTGACTCGCGTATCATTTCGATTGATTTAAATAAAAGTGTCCATACCTTATACATGGTGGATATATTTGAACTTCATTTAAAGTTTTAAATAGCATATGTTTATAAAATACAAATGGTTATGTATTTATTTTGTTAATCAATGACATTAACTATCATAATTTATTGACTCACGATCGTATCTCACACACACTACAATGTTAATATAAAGAGTGTTACAACTAATCAATCAACAATGTTACGTTATGTTGGGCAATGTTATATAGGTAAATCAACACTCACTCTTCAAACACTTTAGCTCGAACACAATAAAGGATTACAAAACTGAACAACGACGTATACAGTGCCCCAAGACGTCAAATACAACTTATATATATACGATGTTAGACAATACGTCATTTAAAAAACATCAAATAAAGTGAACAAACAAGATAACAGTATAAAAAATAATCATTGACATGATGGTGAAGTGTGATCGACACGTCAAAAAACTAATATTAAAAACAAAGGGAGAAACAAATGATCAATTTTAATTTATAAATATACAAAAATTGATATATTGATTTTACATTTGAGTCTATCATCATTGAAATATAATCTAATATGAATATTTAGACAGTACGAATAAGCAAATGCTAAATCAAATGATATGAAAGTAAACGGTAACACAGTACTTTATTTTATCGTTATTTTTGTATTTGTTCTCAAATCAAACAACATTATATAAACTTCTATAGTTACCTGCTACGTTGAAACACGTGACATAAGGTTGATAACGACATCTGCCAACATTACCCCAGCTGTCAAAAGGGCAGTCAGCAAGACTGGTCTCCGTACCGTTACATCTTACATTTTCCATCCAAATTGGTTCATTAGGGACATTGGAAACACGCGATAAAGCCCGACCATTACTGAAATTCAAGAGAATTGTTATTGTTGCTGACGTTGTTTGGATTCATTGTAAAACAATACCAAAGTTTTCATAGCGTATTTTTAAGGGAAAATTATGCATCAAGTTCTTCGGCTTATTTGTTGTTGTTTTTTCTTCAATATTTACACAAACATTCCAAAAATATTTGATTATCTTATACCACGTATAATATTTGATTTTAGAAATGCATCTTACCTATAATGAAGCATTCTGCATACGACTGCTGCGTCTTTATCATCAAAATTATATTTTTGAGAACAAACAGCTCCCCAATATCCACTATAGTACACCTCGACCCGGCCGGTATGATTGTAAGCTCCATCTACCAGACGAACTTCTATGGTAGAATTAGCTGAAAATAAAGATTTATTTAGCATGGGAGGTTATATCGATTTACTAAAACAAATATATACACAGTAAGCATCAGAAGTTCAGCCTTTTTGCAACAATAAATTATGTACATTTAAGTTGTACGCTAGAAATGACGCAAACATAAGAAGAAAAGAGTTTTCTTTATAAGGGAAATCATTAGATTATTTTTTCTATAAATATAGAATAATGTTTAAAAAATCGACAGTTGTTTTCTCTTAAATATATAATGTTTACTATAATAATTCATCAACATTAAATTTAAAGCGAAGTGTCAGTTGTCGTTGCGATATGGTTTTAAAACGATTTCAAGAATAATTTGTAAATTCATGTATACAAAAGAAACAGTCCTATTTCAATCTTCGTAGTCATTGCATTCCAATCGACGGAGGCATCCAGTATCTTATCAAAGACGTTTTAGCAGTTACCACTGTGATGTTTGTATTTCCAATGTTTTTTTTATCGTATTTTCTTCTTAACTGCTGTCATGTTGTCTATTACGCCGTCAAAATGAAGGCCACTCCCTATATCTACATCCAAAAAATATTTAAATAATCGAAGGACGGGGAAAACTATTCGAATCGGGTTTCTACGATAGTAGCTACTGTAGCCGTGATTGCTATGCTGGTATAGATCCTGTGAAACTACATCGATATATTTAGAAACTCCACAGTGAACAACACTATTTCTCGACCTTTCATAGATTTTAAATTTCATATAAAGTAATGTTGGAAGCCCTTAGAATATGATTTTTCAATTATTATTGTCGTCATGTACGCGCATTAACACATTGTTCCATGTATCAAAATGGTGAAGGAGTCAAACAATGGTTCTTATAGGACTGTTATCTCGCTGAAGCGTAAACGACGCCATACTGGAAATAAGAAGCAATCTGCCGAGCCATTTGCAGTGCTTTTACGCTGATTTATACCCAGTCGGACTGAACTTAGCTGAATAAGGGAGAGATGAATATATTTGTATATATGCTTATGTCTTTTTTAAAGATCTTTTCGCTTTAAAAACATTAGGATCAATAAGAATATCACGTGGTTATCCTAAATTGATGTCAAGTTTACTTTAAATGATAGGTTCTTAAAACATCTGTTTATATTAATTGTATAACAGTTTCTGTTCTTATTTTTTCCCTTTATTTATCTTTCTCTCTCGATGCAGCCGCTGTTTGCTGTATTACACGTAAAGATTTAACTTTTTCTTTCTAAAACATTTGAAAAAACATCAAGAAACCCTGTTGCGATCCAACATATTTAAGAATAATTGTCGGAATAATTAAGGCATGCTTTTAATTAAGTCATATAAAATATGAAAAAATCTTAATTATTTCATTCTTTCCTTTGAAAAGACTGTTTACGGATGACTTGTTGGAAACAAGTATTTTTACAATAAGTCAGAATTAGTTTATTCCTTGTACATGTAGTGGCTCAAGTCCGTTGGGTGGATTTTATTCATCAACTTAAGAGGCCCCACAGTGAACAACACTTTTCCGACCTTTCATAGATTTTAAATTTTATATAAAGTAGTGTTAGAAGCCCTACGAATATTATTTTTCAATTATAATGGTCGTCATGTACGCGCATTAACACACTGTTCCATGTATCAATCCACGGAGCAATTTTCAGTGCTTATACGCTGATTTTTACGCAGTCAGACTTTAATTAGCTGAATAAGGGAGAGATGTATAAACTTGTATATATGCCTATGTCTTTTTTAAAGCTCTTTTGGCTTTAAAAACATTAAGATCAATAAAAAAATATCACATGGTTATCCTAAATTGATGTCAGGTTTGCTTTAAATAATAGGTTCTTAAAGAATCTGTTTATACTAATTGTACAACAGTTTCTGTTTATATTTTTTTCCACTTTATTTATCTTTCTCACTGGCTGTTTGTTGTATTACACTTCACGAAGAAGATTTAACATTTTCGTTCTAAAACATTTAAAAACTATGCACATAACTCTATGTATATTTTAAAAACATCAAGAAACCCTGTTGCGATCCAAAATATTTAAGAATAATTGTCGAAATAATTAAGGGATGCTTTTAAGTCATATAAGATATGAAAAATAATCTTAATTATTGCATTCTTTCCTTTGAAAAGACTTTTTACGAATGACTTGTTGGAAACAAGTATTTTGACAATAAGTTAGAATTATTTTATTCCTAAAACACGATGTTATTACATGTATTGGCTCAAGTCCCTTGGACGGATTTGTTCATCAATTGAAAAGGCTGATCGGGGG